TGCACATCTTGGTATCTGCACGGATGTCAGTGTCATCGTAGACTCTCACTTCATGGATACTGCCATCTCTGTTGTCTTCAGGAAAGGAGACAATGTGGACTATCTTAATTTCGAACATATGAATTAGCAGAAACATAGAAACCAGGAGCAGGTGTAGGCCATTCAGGCTATAAAGCCTACTCCACCATTCAATGTGATGATGGCTGACACTCTATCTCATCTCATACTCCCCCTCTCTCCCCACCCCCTTGAAACCTTTAGCATTAGAAATCTGTCAATGTCTTCACTAACTTGGCCAGCAAGAAACAGTTCCAAATTGCCCAACATGTATCCTGGGACTGTGATCCTGTATTCTGGGGTCCTGGGCATGGGGAAGCATCCTCTCTGCATCCAGACTGTCCAGCTGGTTAGAATTCCATACATTTCCATCAGGTCCCATCTCATTCATCTAAACTCCAGCGAATTGCCACCTGAACTGCATCTGGGTGCTCCCTCTCAGTGAGCATTGTACATGGACACCTTTATACATCCACATTCTCCAGTCGATCTGGAAACAATGCAAGTGTCCATCAGTCCGTATCAGAAAGGCTTGGTTCTTACCCGTTCTGGCCTACATGTGATTCCAGACTCATAGCACAATGGCACATTCTAATAAACTCTAATAAATTAGTCAGACATCATTACCCTTTCCCGTGCAGGCATGATGGACCAAATGGCCTCGTTTGGTGCCAAAACGCTTCTGTCGTATTCTGAAATGGTCCAGCAAGTCAATCCAGCAAATAGGCTCAATACTGCCTTCTCAGGGGCAATTAGTATCGGGCAGTAGACGGTGGGTTTATCAGTGGAAGCCATATCCTGTGACTAAATAATGAAAATGAAAACATTTTCGAAAATCCTTCCATTTGTGGAGTCTGGAAGAAATGGCAGCAGCAACAGCAATGTGTAGTGTTGTTGGGACAATGACCTCAGAGCTGAGTGTTAATGACCGAGATTAATGGGTTCAAATCCCAGCAGGGTACCCGAGGAGAATCTCAAATCTCAGCAATGAATTAAATCAGGGAGAAAGAGCTAGACTTGGTGAAGCCTTTCCTAAAAACTCAACTGTTCCAATCATGGGCTACAGGGAAGGAAATCTGCCATGTGTAGCCAGTCTCTCCACAACAGGAATGTTGTATCCAAATCTGAATGGCTTTAGAGGAGGCTACAGAAAAGATTGATTTGATATTTATTTGTTTAAATATTTTTAAGGCAGAGATCAATAGCTTCCTGATGAGCAAGGCAATGAGAGATTATCCAGGGAAATGCAGAACTGGAGGATAAAAACAGATCAGGCACCATCTTATTGAATGGGGAGTAGTATCGAAGGGCTGAGTGGCCTACTCTTTATACAATGGGGTTACAGGGATGGATTGAAGAAGCTGAAGTGTTCTGCTTAAAGCAGAGGAGGTGAGTGGACATGTTTGTAATCTCGAGGGGTCTAGACAGAGTACAGGTGAGGAAGAACCTGATCCAATTGGTAAAATCCAAAGGAGACTATCCCGAGTTAATGGGATTGTCAAAGCAGCCAAAGGCAAGCGAAGGGGAAACATGCTCAGGCAGCAAGTGGTGACAATCTGGAATGTAGAGTCTGAGAGTGTGGGAGAGGCAGGTTCACTCGAGGGGTTAGGGTCTG